ATTCGGAATTGATTTGAAAGAATGATTCTCAACTAGGAAGCTTAAGTAGGAAGAGCTGAGCAAGTTTGACTTTTTAGTACTTGACCTAGGATTAGAGTTTTGATGATTCTGTTAGGTCCGGATGGTAATTTTGGACTTGGTCATATGCCCGGATTTGCATTTGGATATTTCGAGAAGGTATCGGCACTATTTGGCAAAAGTTGGAAATGTGAAGGTTTGGAATGTTCATAAGTTTGACAGGGGTTGACTTTGATGATATCGGATTTGGATTGTAGTTCCAAGAATTGGAATAGCTTTGTTATGTAATTTGGGACTTTTGTGCAAACTTTGAGTTCATTTCGAGTTGATTTGATAAAGTTCGGCACGAGTTTTGGAAGTTGAAAGATTCAAAGTTCATTAAATTCGATTTGAGGTGCGATTCGTGGTTGTAATGTTGTTATGTGTCATTTTAGGCCTCGAGTAAGTTTGTGTTATGTTATGAGACTTGTTGGTATTTTCAGACGGGGCCACGAGGGACTCGGGTAAGTTTCGGACAGGTTTGGGTTGTGTTGCGCTCGTTTTTTATGTTTCAACGTCGTTTCTTCAAGCATAAATGGTACCACATTAAGCAAATGAGCTTCAATTTCTATTTCGATTAAATCATTAGATCTGTATCGTTATTTTGGAACCATAGCAATTGGAATCATCAAGTTTCAATAATGTATGAGGAATTTATGATCATTTTACTAAGAATTGGGTTGCAAGATTTTTTTCCAGATTAATTACGAAATTGCCACTGAATTCGTATTTAAAAATCTGCATTATATTCAAATGTTGAGACCAACATATTTCCTTCATTATAAGGTCAAATGGAGTGATTCAAAAGCCTAACTTGATTGGAATTTCTCAAGGAATCCACTGGAAGAATCCAAATGAGTTTCGGGATTGTTTGGTACAGGAAACGAGGTAGAACAGTTGGGCAGAAACATTTAATATCGAGAGTTTGTTCATTTGGTCATATTTTGAGTTGGGGAGCTCAGATTTGGGCAATTTCGGAGGAGATTTTCACCACGTGGGTTGGTGTAAGTGTTCTATGCTCGGTTTTGGTTATGTTTCATGAATCCATCTTCGTTTTTGGCATTTGAATTATGATTTCAAAGTGAAATTAGGGAGGTTTTGTCTAAAATTTCATAAAGTGAATTTTTAAGTTTTGAACATCGATTCGGAGTCGGACTTGAGTGAAACTAGTATGGTTGGACTCGTACTTGAATGGGTTGTCAGATTTTTTGAGTTTCGTCGGGTTCCGAGATGCGGGCCTGAGTTTGACTTTTTGGTTGACTTTGGGCTTTTGATTAAAGATTCAACCTTTATCTATTGGGTTTGTTTCATTTGGCACTATTTTATGTTCATGAGTTTCTTTGGCTAGTTTTGACCTGTTCGGAGACCGGTACGCACGAGATGGTGTTTCTAGAGTATTGTTTGGCTTGCTCGATATTGGATTTGGCTTGTTCGAGGTAAGTAACTCTTCTAAATGTGGTGCTGAGGGTATGAACCCGTGAATATATGTGTTATGTGTTTGGTGTTAAAGTGACGCACATGCTAGGTGACAGGCGTGTGGGCATGCACCGTGAGAATTATGAATCGGTTGATTCTGTGGTATTGTGTAGTTACCTAACCTTGTTTCTATCCATAAAATTTCTACGTGCTAGAGTAATTGAACTGTACTCCATGATAGAAATCATGTTTAGGCTAAATGCTCATCCTGTTGGGACCCACTGAGGTCATTTCTGTATTCGAGTTATTTGCTTAAATTGAAATTACACACTCAGTGATATTCATTCATTTGCATATCATATCTCAGTCTCTGTTATCATTTATTGTCACATCATGTTATAATTGTTTGGGTTGATTGACATGACATTAGTGAGCCAAGATACTAGAGATATTGATGATTGAGTGAGGCCCAGGGCCTGATTGTGAGTGTTATTTATGGGATCGGATTGCCCACCGCAACTAGCTTTATTGATTCATGCCATGATTGGCTTATATTAGCGCTTGGGCAGGATCCGCCCCTCGGAGTCTGACATACCAGCAGTGAGCGCAGGTACCTACTGAGTGCGAGTGCTAAGTGCAAGCACCGAGCGTGAGTGCCGAGAGCGAGTGACGAGCGGTAGTACCGAGTAATTAGGAGGACTGAGTGATTGTGAAGACTGAGTGACTGGGAGGACTGAGTGATCGAGCATGTAGAGTAAGTTTTTCCAAGAGCATGAGCACATGAGTTTATCACTGTGGTGCATTACACTTTACATACATACTTGGCATGTAGGCATAGAGATGTATTTCCTCATGTTGTACGGTATTGTGAAATTCGTGACTTCACATGCACATTGAATTTCTACGTGCTAGAGTAATTGAGTTGTGATCCATGTTAGAAACCATGATTAGGCGATACGCTTATCCTGTTGGGACCCACTAAGGTCATTTTTGTTGTTGTATTTACTTAAATTGCAATTACATACTAAGTCATACTCATTCGTTTACATATCATATCTCAGTCTCTGTTATCATTTGGTATCACATAATTTTATCATTATTTGGGACTGATTGGCATGAGATTTGTGAGGCCGAGAGACTGGAGAGGATGATGAATGACTGAGGCCGAGGGCTTGATAGTGAGTGATGTTTATAGGATCGGGTTGCACGTTGCAGCAGGCTTTTTTTCATGATGGGATCGGGTTGCATGCCGCAGCATGCCATGATTGGCTTATATTAGCGCTTGGGCAGGATCCTGCCCCTCCGGGGTCTGACATACCAACAGCGAGCACAGGTACCTACCGAGTGCAAGTGTCAAGTGCTAGTGTCGTGTGCGAGTGCCGAGTAACTGAGAGTGCTAAGTGATTTGGAGGTGCTGAGTTATTGGGAGGTGCTAAGTGATTGAGCGTGCTGAGTGAGGTTGAATACTATAAGAGCATGAGCACACGAGTTTATCATTGTGGTGAAATACACTTGACATGCATACTTGGCATGCAGGCATAGACATGTATTTCCTCATGTTGTACGGTATTGTGACATTCATGACTTTACATGCACATTGATATGTAAGCATAGAGATGTACTTTTCTCATGCATTCTGATAATGAAACGCCTTATCTGTTGTTGAAAGTTTTTGGAAAAAATCACAGTTTTCGGACATACTCATATATTGAAGAATTCGGTGAAATATTTGGGTTTTACTTTTATACCTGAAAAGCATGCCTATTTTCCGTAACTATGAACGAGCTGAGCATCATATCTTTGAGTATTACTCATATTGTTATCATTGTATTGTTACGAGTTTTTCTTAGCTATTAGTGTTGGACTCTGACCGTTGTACAAGCTTGTCACTGCTTCTAACCTAAGGTTAGGGTTGTTACTTATTGAGTACATGGGGGTCGGTTGTACTCATACTACACTTCTACGCCTTGTGTGTAGATTTTGGAGTTGATGTTATTGTGTGTCGCGGGAGCTGGCATTGAAGAGGTACCTACATTCTGGTTATAGCTGCCTCATGTTCTTGGTAGCTTTAGATTTATGAATCTGTTTAAGGGTATTTTGAAAAGATGATGTATTTATTTCATACCAGCTTTGTAAACTCTAAATCTTAGAAGCTCGTGATTTGTACTACCAGCCCTTTTTCATCATTATTTTCTTAGTAAATCTCATTTGAAGTTGGATATTGTTAAACTGGCTTAACTAGTGGGTTGGGTTAAGTTCCATTACGACTAGTCGGATTTTGGGTCGTGACACCTTTCCTACTGGTTTAAATAGGAGAGCATATGACCAAACAAGGCTTTGGGTGAATGAATGTCTTTTTTGTTGTAGAATGTTGGCATTTAGCTTAAAACTTTTTAAACCTTTTTTTCTTGCATGGAAGTTGCAAACTAGAATACAATCATATCGAATCAACTTTTGGGACTTTTTCTCTCTCCTTCCCTTCTAACGTTTACTGCCTAATGTTCTATCCCCCCCTCCCCCCTCCCGCAATGGTAATTCCCGTAGCCACACTCCGGCATCTGCTGCTTTGCCGTCGCCGCCACAGGTGTTGTTACAGGTAAGTTCACTTCTCTCTTTACGTCATTTCTCTCTCTCTCCCTTTCTCTTTCTCTCTCCTTTTTCTTCCTTCTCTTCTTTTCCAGTAGCTTCTGGCCCTTCTCGCCACCAGAGTCGGGACGTGCGTGTTCCAGGCGAGTTGCTTCAAGTCCGGCGACCCTTAATTTCTGGCGACTCTTCTTGTTTTGCATTTTTCGGCGCCCCTTGCTCCATCTTTTTCTTCCTCTATCTCTCTTTCCCTTTCTCTCTCCCCCCTTTATGTGTGTGTGGGTGCGTTCTGTTTCATTGGACAGGTGCAACATTTTCCCGGTGAGGACGGATTATTTTTCAGCGTGCGTATAGATTTCCGGTAGTTTGATAAATTTCGGCGACTTTCGAACAGCTTTCCAGTCGGACGCAACAGGATTGTCATTGCTCTTGAGCAGATCCAACACACTTCAGGAAAACTTGCTCCAGGTTCTTTCGTTCTATATATGGTATTCGTGGTATCGGTATTTTTATTGTTATTTTTTTCTTTTTTGCTTGCATGTATGTTTGACATCTACAGTATCCTGTTTAAATTATATTTAGTTAGACTTGTCTGCTTATATCTGTCTCTGTCTATCACTTTAGTGTTATAGCTAATACATAGTTTGTCTCTACTTAGTCGAATCTCTTATTAGCACCTTGTGTACCAATAGGTTTCTGTTAGCCTATTCCTTTTTAGTCTATTCATTTTGTAGCTTTGTGTTGGTCTAGTAGCTGCGCCAAGCTATGATAGAGTGAGGGCATGTCCTCGGGGGGGGGGGGGAGGGGGGCGGAGCGGGGGATTGAGGGGAAGGGTGGCAGGGGGTAAGGCACCTTCTAGGTTGAGAGTGGGGTTGTGGAATATAGGGACTCTAACGGGGAAGTCTATAGAGTTAGCAAAGATTCTCCATAAGAGGAAGATTAACATGGCTTGTTTCCAGGAGACTAGATGGGTGGGGAACAGGGCTCGGGAGGCTGATGGGTTTAAGTTATGGTACTCGGGGAGGGTGAGAGGGAAGAATGGCGTAAGAATTTTAGTTAATAAGGATCTAAGGGAGCTAATGGTTGAGGTTAAGAAGGTGAATGACAAGTTGATGGCCATTAAGATAGTCGTGGGAGGGTAAACGCTGAACGTAGTTAGTACTTACGCGCCTCAGGTGGGTTTGGATGAGGAGGTTAAAAGACGCTTTTGGGAAGATTTGGATGGGTTGGTGCGGGGTATACCGTCCATCGAGAAGCTTATTATACGGGGTGATTTTAATGGCCACATTGGGAGGTCGCCTGGGGGATATGACGGTGTGCATGGTGGCTTCGATTTTGGAGATAGAAACGGAGGAGTTACTTCGTTGCTAGAGTACGCTAAAGCTTTTGAGCTGGTGATCACAAACTCGTGTTTCCCGAAGAAGGCAGAGCAACTGATAACTTTTTGGAGACGGTGGCCAAGACCCAGATTGATTATCTACTTCTCCGGAAATGTGATAGAGGTCTATGCACGGATTGCAAGGTCATCCCGAGTAAGAATCTTACGACCCAGCATATGCTTTTGATTATGGACTTAGAGATCAAGTGGACGACGAAAAAGAGTCCTATGTCTGGTAAACCTAGGGACAGGTGGGGTGCATTGACTAAGGACAAGGCCCAGGAGTTGGGGGGAGAATTTGCTAGATTTGGGGCCTGAAGGAGTAGCGGGGACGCGAGTTGTATGTGGTCTATGATAGAAAATTGCATTAGAGAGGCGGCGAGATAGGTGTTAGGGGTCTCAAAGGGTTTTTCTAGTGTCCATAAAGGGGACAGATGGTGGAACAAAGAGGTTCAAGGGAAAGTGGAAGCCAAGAAAGCTGCATATTTAAAGCTAGTAAAGAGTATAGATGAGGGGTAGAAGAGTGCTAATAGGGAGGGGTATAAGAAGGCTAGGAAGGAGGCAAAGTTGGCAGTTACTACAGCTAAGACCGCGGCATTTAGTCGTTTATACGAAGAAATTGGGGATAAAGCAGGGACAAGAAGTTGTACAGGCTAGCGAAGGTGAGGGAGCGGAAGGCTCGGGATCTAGACCAAGTGAGATGCATAAAATACGAGGAGGGAAGAGTTTTATTAGAGGGGGCACACATTAGGTAGATATGGCAGTCTTACTTCCATAAACTCTTGAATGAAGAGGGAGATAGGGGCATTGTGCTGGGGGAGTTGGAGTACTCGGAGCGATAGCGAGATTTTGGGTACTATAGACGCATACGAGTGGGGGAGGTTATAGGGGCTATGCGCAGGATGAGTAGGGGTAGAGCGACTGGGCAGGACGAGATCCCGATAGAATTATGGAAGAGCATGGGTAAGGAGGGCTTGGAATGGCTTGCTAGGTTGTTTAACGTCATTTTTAGGACGAAGAAGATGCCCGAAGATTGGAGGTGAAGTACGATGATCCCGTTGTACAAGAACAAGGGGGATGTCCAAAACTACAATAACTATAGGGGTATCAAGTTGCTAAGGCATATGATGAAAGTGTGGGAGAGGGTGATTAAAGGGGTTGAGGAGGTGTGTGTCCATTTTCGAGAACTAGTTTGGTTTCATGCCGGGACGGTCGACTATTGAGGCCATTCACATTGTGAGGAGATTGGTGGAGCAGTATAGGGCGGTGAAGAAGGATTTGCATATGGTGTTCATTGTCCTGGAGAAAGCCTATGACAAAGTCCCGAGAGAGGTTGTAAGGAGATGTTTGGAGGCTAGAGAAGTTCTTGTAGCGTATATTAGAGTGATTCAGGACATGTATGATGGGGCTAAGATACGGGTTAGGACAGCAGGAGAAGACTCTGACTACTTTTCGATTGAGATGGGGTTGCATCAGGGATTAGTAGTTAGCTCGTTTTTGTTTTCCCTGGCAATGGATTCTTGACGCATCACATTCAAGGGGAGGTGCCTTGGTGCTTGTTATTTGCGAATGACTCCTAATTGATGAGACGCGAGGTGGCGTTAATGAGAGGTTGGAGGTCTGGAGACATACTCTAGAGTCTAAGGGTTTTAAGTTGAGAAGGACCAAGACAGAATACTTAGAGTGCAAGTTCAACGGTGTTACCCAGGAGGCGGGCGAGGACTGTAGGCTCGATATGCAAGTCATTCCCAAGAGAGAGAGTTTCAAGCATCTGGGATCAGGCGAGACATGGTGCAGATTGAGCTTACCGAGGACATGGCCCTAGATAGAAGGATGTGGAGGTTGAAGATTAGGGTATAAGTTTAGTAGGTAGTCGTGTGTTTCCCTTTGTCTTCTCTAGTTCGATAGTATTAGTGCTAGTACGGTACCCTTTTTTTCTTAGTTTGCTATATTCGCATGTCTTGTTCCATTATTACTTTCCATCGGTAATTCCGTAGTTTGCTAGAAGTACTTCGTTCATATTCTTGTTTGCTACCTTGGATTTGGTTTTCTAAAAATATTATCTTGCTATTACTTGTTATCGGTACCCTTTCATATTCTCTGTTGCTATCTTCGATTTAGTTTTCTAATTATTTGTCGTGCTATTACTTGCTATCAGGGCTTCCTTCACCTTCTTTATCCGAGGGTCTATCGAAAACAGTCTCTCTGCCCTTCCAGGGTAGGGGTAAGACTGCGTACATCCTACCTCCCCAGACCCCACTTGTGGGATTATACTGGGTGGTTGTTGCTGTTGTTATTGCAGTTGCAAACTACTAGTTGTTAGCATTATTTTCTATGTTAGTTGCAAGAATCTAGGAGCTATAAGCATTATCCATTCAATAAGTTGTAGTAGCTTAGAAATATTAGGAAAGTTTACTATTTTTCTATTGTATAAATAGTTTTTCATCGGTAAAAAAACGTACTAAGACAGTATCTTTTGTCTAGTTATTACGCCGTTCTTTGAAATTTAATTTAAATTCATTGTTATTTTAAGTCCAACATTGGTATCAAACCCACATGATCTTATAGGATCTACGAGTTCATTTAAATAACCATTTTCATATTATTTTTGTGATGAGCCGATAGGTTATTTTGAGTTTTAGCCTTTGTTTTCATGTTTTGAGACCTCGATTAGCGAACATAGTCTGTGTCTTTTTTTGAAAAGTTTTTAGTGAAAAATTGAAGAAAATGTGAATTTTAGCCTTAAAATGATTTGATTTGACTACGGTCAACATTTTATGTAAACGGATCTGGATCGGTATTTTGACAGTCCCGGTGGGTCCGTATCATGATTTGGGACTGGGCATATGCCCGAAATTGACTTCGAAAGTCCCTAACTTGATTTAACATGAATTGTTGAAAACTAGTAATTTGAGGTTCAAACAATTCCTAAGTTTGACCGTAGGTTGGCTTTATTTCTACCGGATTCAAATTTCTATTCTGTAACTTGGTATAGGCCCATTTTACTATTTGTGACTAGTCTGCAAAATTTGGTGCAAAACGGAGTTCATTTGATGTGATTCAAACGTCCGTTTGTGAATTTGAAAGTTCTTAGGTTTCATTGGAAATTTCATACATTTTGATGTCTGATTCGTGGTTGTAGCTGTTATTTTGGTGTTTTGATCGTGCGAATGAATTCATATGATATTTTAAGACTTGTGTCGATGTTTGGTTTGGAGCCCCGAGGGCTCGGGTGAGTTTCGGACGCGTAGCAGAGTGTTTGATAGAGTTTGAATTCTGTTGGTTTTGTTGACTTTTTCAAAAATGGCCTAAATTGAGCCTCTTTCATTTGTGGGTAGTTTCTAAAACTTATTTTAATTTGTTTGAATTATATTTGGTAAGATTCTATTGGTTTGAAGGCGAATTTTAGAGGAAAGACCCATGTTGAGCTTTGATTTGATTGCGGAGCGAGGTAAGTGTTGGATCTAACCTTGACTTGAGAGAATTAAGAATTTGTGAACTATGTGTTGTGTGGATTATTTGTGAAAACGGCATATATGCGAGGTAATGAGTGTATATACACTGTCAAAATATTTGTTTTCTATGTTTTTCTCGTTATTCCATGAGCTATCTTATTCCATGCCTTAATTCTTACATGCTTTAATTGCTTTCTATGTCGTAATTTGTTATTCGTCATTTAATTATTCTTGTATTGACTTGTTCGTCCCTTCCATGATTCTGCGCTTATTTGATACTTGCCTTAACTATTTTACTTGCATACCATAATTGTCACGTGCTTTACTTGTCCTATTATTTTTGTAATAATTATTGCATTTCTTTGATTATTACGTGGTTCCTTTATTGCCTTGCACACATGCCCTTTGATTGTAGAAATTCTGGTAGATTGAGTTAATGGATTGTTTATGTTTATTGAAATTGTTTGTGGGTCGGGTTGCACGTCACAACGGTTGTGATATGGTCGAATAAAGGAGGATTATGATATTGATAAATAATTATATGGTGGGATCAGGTTACACGCCGTAACGGTTTGTGTACGTAATACTTGATATTGATAAATAATGATATAGTGGAATAAGGGAGGCTTGTGTGTGTGCGGTGGGATCGTGTTGCGCGCCGCAACGAATTGTATGTGTTGTATTTATTGTTGTTGTTGTGTTAGTTTCAGCATTTTTATATGAAATCACGAGGTTTGTCATTCTGGGATTTCTGATAGTGAGGTTTGAGTTCGCTTTCATAAATTAACTATACTACTTTCATTTCCTATTTTCTTTCCCTGTTATTATTATTATTACTACATACAGGTTATTATAGGTGGCCCGCTTTAGCCTCGTCACTATTTCATCGAGATTAGGCTCGGCACTTACAGAGTACATGGGGTGGGTTATACTCATATAACACTCTATACTTCTTGTGAAGATACCAAAGTTGGTTCCGGCATCATTTAGTGAGGTTGCCCGGATTTGACTACTAGCCGGAGACTTAAGGTATAGTTGCACGGCATTCGCAACCCTGAAGTCCTCTTTTCTATCATATTAGTTGTTCGCATTGATTTAGACAGTTATGCTTTTATTCTGACTATTATTTGTAGTACTCTAGACGCTCCTGTATTCGTGACACCAGTCCTGGGAATTATATTTGGATTATGTCGTTCATTAGTTTTTTTTATTCCATTTCAGACTATTCGGCTTTATTTTTTTCATTTGATTTGAAATGCTAAAAATGGTTAATAATATAGCTAACGCTGGCTTGCCTAGCCCAAAGAAATGTTAGGTGCCATCATGACACCGGAGATTGGGATTCGGGGTGTGACAAGTTGGTATCAGAGCCCTAGGTTACGTAGGTCTCACGAGTCATGAGCAAGCTTAGTAGAGTCTTGAGGATCGGTACAGAGCCGCCTGTACTTATCTTCCAGAAGCTATGAAGTTTTAGGGAAAAAGCTCGATTCTTTCTTTCTCTATCGTGCGATTTCATTCCACCGTTGACGATTGAACTATTATGTTCTTGTACTCTCATAGATGGCACGAATACGCACAGTATCTACAGCTGGACAGGAGGCGGAGCCCCCTGTGACAGCTACTACCAGGGGCAGAGGCCGAGGTCAAGGAAGAGGCAGAGCTCAGCCTAGAGCTCGAGCAGAAGCACCCGCAGTGGAGCTTCAGATTGATCACAAAGAGGAGATTCCAGCTCAGACCGTGCCCGTCGGACCAGCTCAATTACCGGAGGGATTCGTAGCTACTCTAGTGCTTCTGGACGCTCTAGTCTGCTTGGTGGGCCTTATGAAGAGTGTGGCCAAGAACTGTGCATTTCATGTGGTACCAGCAATCTCTCAAACTGGGGGAGGAACACAGTGTCCCGCTACTCACACCCCGGAACATGTGGCACCCCTATATTAGACCCAAAAAGCCCATCTAGTTGGGGTGGTTCAGCCGGTTATTGCAGCATAGGCCGGGGATAGGCCCGCTATGTCTTTTAAGGCCTTTGTGAGGATGGATAAGTATTCCATGCTCTTTCCTGTTCATTTCAGCGGTGCACTTTCTGAGGACCTACAATATTACTTGACCATTACCACGAGGTGTTGCGCAACATGGGTATTTTTGAGACCAATGGGCTCGACTTTGTAGTGTTCCAGATGACCGGTTCTGCCAAGAGGTAGTGGAGAGATTATGTGTTGACTGGACCAACTGGTTCTCCTTCATTTACTTGGGATCAGTTTTCACAGCTATTTCTAGAGAAGTTTGTTCCTTTCACTTTGAGAGAGGAGTATCGCAGGGAATTTGAGCGCCTTCAGCAGAGTGGCATGACCGTCACTCAGTATGAGACTCAATTTGTAGACCTAGCTCGCCATGCCATTGTTTTACTCCCTACTAAGAGTGAGAGAGTGAGAAGATCCATTCATGGGCTTAATTTCAGCATCATGCTAATGATGGCCAAAGAGACTGGAGATGATATTTCTTTCCATAAGGCTATAGATATTGCTAGACGGATCGAGATGGTTCATGGTCAGAACAGGGGCCGGTGTCTGATAAGAGGCCTCGTCATTCCGGTGGGTTCAGTGGTGCCTCGTTTGGAGGCAGGGTACTTTTGGTAGAGACCATC